TCGTATAGGGAGTGAAGAGAAGCGCGCATATAATTTTTGTCACTTTCAATTTAGTTCAGCCTTAAGTGAGCAATCGTCGGAGTAAGGGCAGCGACAAGAGCTAAATTGTGAAAAACTCCCTCTCGGCAGAACACACCTACGCAATTAATTGCTCTCCCAACCTTATTGTGGACGCCGACCGTAACAATAGCATTCCTTTTTTCAAGTTTTTTATTTTTGTCATAAACAAAACCAAAAGAACTTGAACTATTATTTCAGGTTTATTCAGCACACCTTTAACAAATTCTTCAAGAGTGAGTTTATTAACATTTTTGGGTAAAAAATGTTGTTCTAAGGTCATTAAAGTGCCAGCAATTTCTGAACTTTGTTTTTCTTTAACATTTTCAATTGCGTTTTGTAAGGGTGTTTTTAACTGTTCAACTTCTTGATCTTTATCGGCTAATTGTTTTTTTAATGTTTCTATTTCGTTTAATAATTGTTTATATCTCTGTTCGAGTTCATTTATGATGTTTACCATTACTTTTTTTTTATTTTATTTATTATTTAATATACTCATATGGCTATATTGAGTATATAATTATTTTAATATTTCTTTTTATTTAAGCTTTAAAAATTAAAGTGGGAAGAATTTAATGCAGTGAGGAGATTAATGTATGATGGAGAATTTCAGTCTAAATATTTTATTCATTGCCAGTATATGTTGGTCTTGGACAAGTAGTATCTTTAAACTCATCTCTAACAAATGGGCGGATATTATGATAAAGATATTCTTGTCTTTTGTAATCTAAAGGAGGAGGGGTTAGTACGAGGATTGAAAACGTTTTAATTTCTTTGGTAATTTCAAAAATGCTTGCTTTCCTAGTTTTTAATAAATTAAATTCAGTAAAAGCACCATTAGCAACCAGCTGAGCTTTGACAACTCCGGGATTGGCTGCTTCAAATACAAAATGCTGATATTTTTGCAAACCACTCAATTTCTTAAAGAAAATTCCCAACACGGAATTAAGATCTAAGTATTGAAAGCCATTGCCGTTTCATAGCACTAAGCTTTGTTTAATCCCGCTGTACTTGATCTTTTCACAACCTCAACAATGTGATTCATATAATCTACGGTTGTTTTTCTATAAAGCTTTTTAATCAGTCCGAAACTACCATCGCACTTGAATTTAGTGTGTCCAGGTACCATGAAATTCAATTCAATACTTTCATAATAACCGCAAATTACTAAATACAGGTAAAATCAAATGGTAGCATTATTTTTATTCTGTCCTCCCGCATTGTCACAAGTAATCTTTAAATGCTTTTCGCCTTTGTTCAATTTCTTTATTCCATCGAATACCATGCTCAGTGTACCATTAGGTCCTTTGCCGATAATTTCGTCTTTATCGAGAACATAATTAATTGTTCGCGCACTGCTTCATCTTGTATACCAAATACATGCACTTTGCGCGGACTAAGATAATAAATCTTACTTACCTGTTGATCGGAATGCGTTTTGCGCTCAATCGTAACTGTAATGAGCAGTCGCGTCAATGCTACAATATTCAGTTATACCTCCTGCCATAAGGTAGTTCTCGTCTACTAATTTTCTCTGTTGTTGTTCTGCTATCTTTGTATTTTTGTTGTAATAATTTCTCTCTAACTTAGCTTTAACTAAATGTTTTTTGAATTTTTTCAATATATCTTTTGCTTCTTCTTCCTTGCGAGCATTGTATTGCAAGCCGTTCCGAAAATGTTGGCACGGTCACATAAATCCGTTCGCGGACTCATGATTTGAATATAAGGCGTTAATTGGTGTCATAACTTGCGGAATGCATCTTATTTTAACAATTTCAATGTGCTATCGTTTTCAAGACCTGCAATAAAATCACGATAGACTGACTTGTAACTTGTTTCAGCTGGCAAAAGTGTAAGCGATTGAGTAATGCGATTGACATTTCTACCAGGACTTGGTAGTCCATGAATTTCCGCATAGTTTTCGAGAAAATTCTTCACGGAAGTAGCAACGTTTATATCAATGGTTATTTTGGTCTTCCATCGCGGCATTCGTTTAATGTTACCGTGAATACGCGGTATTATACCATTCGTTGCCAGATGATTTCGGACGTTTTCGAAGTGCGTGCGACCGATTCCTAACATATTGAGATACGTTTTCTGACAGAGCGACGTATTGCGATCTCAATAATAAAACGTTCGCTTATTAGTACGCGTTTTCTTTTTAAGACGTCGACTAGCCGTTATTACTCCAGCATTCATTGCCTTCAACTGGGCCATTAAAAATATATCTTGTTCAGATCTAGAGAGAGCTTGAAACGCCTCACGTGATTCGGCAAACCTTTCTCTCGGAATCTTTTGAGAGCAACCATAATTGCAACCTATCTCCAGGAAACGTATTGCTTTTTCGTATTCAGTCGAACCACTATAATTATAATTTTCCATATACGGGTAATCCTATATATTAATTTTATTAGTTTGTGGTTATTATTATGCTCTTTATTTCATGTTTTTAGTTCATTACAACAGATTGTAATTTTATCTCGTCGAGAAATGCAAATTGCATCAAAATACTTATTTTTACATAAAAAGACAGTAATTAATTGTCCCTAAATAACCCCATCACGCTATCAACCACTCTTCTTCATTCGGAACTAATCCCCCTTTGCCTTTCCGCAATTTATCTAAAGCTCTCCTAGGTGGGGAACAATATAGTGAATAAAAAGGGGTTAATGAATGTAAAACCAGTGACAAACAGAAAAACGAAGCTATCAGATAGCTATTCAGTCATCGTCGTTTTCTTCCTGCAAAGTGATTCCCTAATTTGGACTAAAGCTTTCAACACGGCTCGTCTTCCGGCCGGTTGAGCGAGATCGAAACCGGACGACAAAGTATTCTCACGCGGCCATCTTTGAACCTCAACAGACTGACCTTGTGGCACGCCAAGTTCAAGTTCTCTCCAATACTCGGCAGGAATATCGGCCTTATAAAACGTAACATAATGAGAAATTGTGCGAATGGCCCATAACGTCTGATCCCGATATTGATATTCCTCTTTACGCATATTCTCATTTGCACAAGCGAGAATCTCCACACTGATCTGGGATTCTCCGAATCCACTGGTTGGCCCGACGTTGTTCAAATGTTTGTCCTGTAAGAAAGTTGCTTGAGATAACGAAAATAACTTTTGTTCAAACGGTCACAACCCACATACCTCGACTACCACAACAAAGTTTGTTTTTTTTTCTTTATTACAAATCCAGGATCTGACGATACACGGGGTGAATCTTCAATGTATAATCTGCATAAGGGATGATTTCTAAATTTTAAAACGTAACTTAGAAACATTATATTTGTTATTTGTCAAAACAGAACACAAACACTCAGATACTGACCTGACCCTCAAGGGCCAATCATTCAGCCCAACGACGATGCGCAGTAGATCGTCCACAAGTGTATCAGTGAATGTTTCCTCTGTGCCCACCACCTGCATGCCATTCATCACGACGTCATGCAGGTTCGCAAAAAAAGTGCGAACTTTATTCGTAATTCCGTCAATATTTTCAACGTCCAAATCTGGATTTCTGAGTACTGCACGCGTGATATGGGGGAGAACATACTCTTCTGAATGCTTGTGTCTGAAAATTATTTAATTTATGTTCGCTGAGAGGACAACCGATAAAAATAGCTCGTACCTTCAACTGTTGGTATAACATCGCTCTCAGCAGATGCTGGGTTGACTCTCACTCTCAATATCTCAATGTGGGAGTTCCTGAACAGAGAGGCCGAAGAAGGGAGCTTGTCCAAGTCATAACTATCACCAGAACCGGAACTGAGTCTAAGATTACTGGCCTCCGCTGCGAGGACCGAGTCGTCTCTTGCAAGTTGCAGGCGTTTGGATCGTCGTCGTGGAGCGCCCTCACTTTCGTCTTCGACGTTTCGTTTTGGAGGCTTTGGAGGCATGATGACAAAGGTCGATAAAAAAACTTGCATCACCGTAATATGCAGATCTTTTGCAGATCTTTTGTGTTGTGTACAACAGTCTCGGTACTTTTTTGCACTCACATGACATTTATGATGACATAATTGCACTTTTGGCCAATAAACGAGTGGACTATAGTAAAAACTATAGTCCCACTATTACCCCCCGCTGCGGCGTACAAAAAAATACAATACATTTTGTTACCAAAAAAAGAAATATTGTGGCTCGCGGGCCATTCCGAAAAATGGCCCAGAGGCCTTCTGGGTTATTTTTATTAGTAAAAAAATGTTCCGGAAGGACGCAGTAAATGGCACACTTCGGAAATTTTATCTGATTTTATTATTATATAAGAAAGGCCGTTTCTTCTTTTTTCAAACAATTAAAATGAAACGAAAATCAAAAACGGTTGAATCTGATAAAGTTAAAAAGTCAAAATTTGTTCAAAATGAAGCAAGTGAATCGAAAAAAGCTTCAAATGCAAAATCAAAAGATTTAAAAAAACGCAATCGAAATCGTTATATTATGATAACTGCGCGTGCATGTCGTTACTGTAGAGTGCAGTTTAAATGTGATCATGAATTGGAAAAAGAAGCAAAAGATTGTTCAAAATGTAACTTGAAACATAAAAATGTAAAAATGATGCTTCATGTACGAAGTGTTGTGAACGATATAAATGCTGCACTAGTTTGGAATGTCAACAATGTAGAGATAATGGAATTGAATGTAAAAGAACGATGCCAAGAACACAAGAAGAATATGAAAAAATTAGTGAAAAATCTCATATATTGTACGACACATAGTCTCCAAAGCAATTTTAACATTGGGACTTGCTTGAAAAAACAAATTGAGTTCGGTAACTATTTGGGAAAGAGAGGCTTGCATATTTACGATAATAAAAAGTTGGCCGTCTCACAAAAGATCTTTTTTTTTGTCTTGCGTTTTTTTCTATTCAGGCTTTTTTGGCAGTAAAAGAAGAAAATTGTAAAATATTTATTAAGTCGAAAATCTCTGAACATTTAGAATTAACTTGATTGTTGGCATGATAAAGAAAATAAAAATAAAAAAATTATTTTTTTTCACTTCTTCCACTTTCTTCTGACTATCTGGTGTGTGGTTTTTACCTTCTAACTTACTAACTTCTTCTTGTCATCAAGATGAACGCACTGAGGATGGATATTTTCATTCGCAAGTATATTGCCAAATCCGCGAACCTAATCGACTATCATTTATACAATTACATCGAGTATTTGGCGATGATACACTTCATTTCGATATTGTATATGGTAATTTCGATAAAGCTCGTGCATATTGTACTAAAATACATAATAGGTGTAAACTGCATAATGATCCTAAACATGTAAATGTGATTATTTTGACTTGTCTAAGTATCGTAGTCTATGTTCACCAGAATGTGAACAATATCGAACCCTTGTACGTTGGGACACTAACACAACAGATTTAAGTAATATATATCCATTCGAATTTGGAGTTTCACGAAAACATCGACGAGTAATAGATAAAACACCAAAGGAACAGTACGATTATTATATTTTCAAATCGTATTACGAAGATATTGAAAAGATAAAATATATTAGAGAAAACAAAATTCCATTTGAAGAAGTTTGCGATAAACCCGAATTAGCGCCGGATCGATATTTACGGCTCATGGGCATAAATTAATATCAGATACTCAACAAAGAAAATCAAAAGTAAAACCATTTGTGTCAGAGTTTTCTGACCAAGATTTTAATATAACAAAGAAAATGGAACTTTGGGCTGAACGAAATCTAAAATCTAAATCTAAACGACCAAAATCTTTATTGTTAATTGGTGAAACGCGTCTTGGAAAGTCGGCATGGGCCCGAAGTCTAGGACGCCATATTTTCTGGCGAGGTGGAATTAATATTGATAAATGGGATCCGTTAGCTGATCATATTATAATTGATGATTTCCTTTGGACAGACAGGCATAATTTGAATATGTATCAAGCTTTGATAGCTTGTCAAGACGAAATAGAATTACATGGCAGATAAGTATAAAAAAAAATTTAATAAAATTTATTTGACAAAGACGCCAATTTGTTGAATAAACAATATTTTACAACTTTGCGGTTTAAAGAGTATTATCTAAATGCAATGTAAAGCTTTTTTTACATATTATTAGAATAACATTTTTTTCATTAATGTAGTTTTTCCAATTAAACTTTGTGGAGTTAGATAATTCTCGTATAAATAATAACGTTTAATCATGAATAGTATGCAATAGTGTTATGGCCTTGTTGTCAGCCCAAGAAATTCGAAACATGAAAGCATGAAATCCAATTTACGTTGAAACCCACGTATGTTTGTACCAATGTGTAATTTGAAAAGTATAAAAGATATCCTGGATTGCAGTAAATAATATAAATTTACAATTTTCGACTGAGATGTAATGCTAGCACGCAATATTGTATAGCAAGAAGCTTTTAAGTAATAAAAAAAAAGCTACAAGTAAAAGAATAAAAAATATTATTTCGAGATTAATCAAGAAGACAGTTACCCAATCTGACTTGAAAAAAACAACAACATGTGGACTTGACAACAAATTTCGATGTAAATCGAAGCCAATAATTGTATAATTTGGCGTCTAAGACTATAAGTCTAGTATCAAATACGCGGGAGTTTTAATAGTAAAATAGACTCGATTCACAAGTACAAAAATAAATAAATAAATAATAAACAAACAAATAACAAATAAACCGAAATGCTATAATCTGAGCTTACTAAAGGAACCGGGTTTCAGAAAACATCTATGCTTGGCTGACTTCAAATAACGGTAACTTGGGTTACAAAATACCGTCCATGCTACTTTAATTCTTACATTTAATTAGTTAAATTTCAATAATAAAATACATATACGTTTCCGTAGGAAAGTAATCAGAAGATAGAAAGCACAGAAAATCACTGCTGTTACAGACGGATTAGATCAACGAACAACATACGAATACCTGTAACAGTAAATAGCATAATGTAACCGTATATGTTGCAACTCGGATACGAATAATATTATTGAATTTGAAATAAGTAACTATGTGTGATTTAAGCGTAAAGAAAAACATCCCGTCAATATTGACTTTTTAAAACCGTCTCTAATAGCAAATTAATCAGTTTTACGAGTAAAAATAATGTTTGCCTGGCTAAAACGCTTGATTGCAAAATTATAATAGGCTGTGTAGAGGCAGGTAACCAATTTACATACTCGCTAATGCAGGGTAAATAATAATTAAAGTTATTATGATTTCAAAATTCTTAATTGATCAATAAACCTAAAAATTGCAAAGTTTTATAATATAGGTGCTGCCGGTTAATGTTGCAAAAACTGATCAGTTCGAACATTGATTAATACCAAAAATTAACTGGTTAATATATAAAAGCTTCTATTATTAGAGAAAAGTTATTAAACTGAGACGAAAAAGAATTCGACGTGAAGAGTATTTTACAAAAAGTTGGCTACAAGAAACCGCAAATTTTGAAGATCTGCATGCAGATAAGTCGGTAACTGGAAAATCCAAAGTCCTTTTATGCGAATACAACGAAATCTATCAGCATCGTTTAACAGCAAACTGTGTCTAGTCACATCCTTTAAAAAACGATGCTTAAATGTAAATCGCGTCACTTGCGAACGTGCATTCTTATGAATGCCTGGGAATAATCTATAAAAGTAAAAGATGTGATAATATACCAGGAAATCATTTACAGTATGAATTGACGTTCTGCTTTGCCGATCCGCCATACCGATTATGAGGGAACGAGGGTTGGAATCAGTGAAAAAATAGGGCCTTCAAGTAGAGCATCGCTTATTCGAATATCCCACTATATTAGTAATAGTCACAATGGCAATTATAATATTTTCAGCGCTGAGAAAAAGAATGTCCGCTCTAAGCGTAAGTGAACGATAGTATGCAGTCAGAACGTCACATAATTGTTTCGTCTTGTCGCGATTGTAGTATAAAATTTTTAGTGGCAAAAAAAAAAAAAAAAAAAAAGAGGAAAAAAAAAAAAAGGGAAAAGGAATTTCGGCAAATTAAAATGCAGCGGGACGCACAAGAAAATGGGCGTTAAAAATAATAAACAAAATAATAAATAACTAATTATATAAATAGCCACGTTTTATAGATATGCCGAGTCTTCACTACAGATATAGCAGATAAGGATGTGAACGATAATATTAATATTTGCTCGTTTATCTTTCGTAATTTGTATTGAAGCCGATACTACATTTTGCCAGAATAAAAAAGTTCCCAGGTGAGTGTTACAACTGGAATAACTATCAAGAAAAACCCACCCAATAAAAAATTTGCAATTTCCAAATATAGAATTGGATTGTTTATATGTGTGTTTATCAAACATAGTAAATAAGTTTACAGTCCCCAACCACACCCGATAAACTTTGTCCCAGACCTGGAAGGTGTTTTATCACTCGTAACCAGAGATCTCTTGTTGTCGACTATTGTCTCTCTTGGAGAAGCTTGGAATTAGTTGATAATAATGCCGCCAAAACGAAAGAACTCGCTCACACCACAAACAACCAATACCAAAAAGGTAAAATCAAAGGAAGGTGCCCCTGACGCCTCTCAAAATGAAAATGAAAAGCAACCAACCGAGGCTGTTCCGACACAAAAACCTGTTGCAAGAGGTCGCGGTAGGCCAAGAAAGCACCCTATTGTAGACCAACAGAAAGTACCGGCCGATCAGTCAACCTCAAGCTTGGCAATAGGTAACCCTCCGCACTTGTCGGCGGGGAGCAACCTTGCTGGCCAAGGCTCGCAGGTACCTATATCTCAGAACAAAGAAACTCCTGTTGTTAAACCGCGTAGAGGACGGCCAAGGAAAAATCCACTCCCAGTCGAGTCGGCGCCCAAGGGGGATCTGCTGCCGCCCAGAGACGTAAGCGCAAAAGAACCAGAAGGCAACGATAAGAGCGCTCCTCCCGCTTTATCGACCGGTACTCAGCAGACTATCCAACAGACTATCCAACAGACTACCCAACAGACTACCCAACAGCCTACCCAACAGACTACCCAACAACCATTGATTAAAGACGCTGCCACGATCACAGATATCACCATTTCGAATGGTAGTGAATCAATAGATCTATTACTACATCATACCGCCTTGCACACACAGAATATTATATCCATGAGCGAGTCTACTCCCTCGCCAAAAAAGAGAGGTAGACCAAAGAAAGTCATATCTACGCCAGCTCCCGTAACTGCTTCACAGAAAGAATCCGTCTTCCAACCGGTTGCCATAGCACCAGCAGAGACCGGTGCCAAAACTTTGGGTGATTCGGTCGCCGTCAGTGCATCTCCTACGAAAGGAAAACGTGGACGTCCTCGGAAAAATCCTCTTCCCGAAGGAACTGAACCACCCAAAACCACAAAAGTTAATAAGGAAGATAGTGTCAAATCGACAAGCGGCACAACCTTGGGTGACACTCAACCCGCGTCTGTAGAACCAACTCAAGAAGCAGCAGTTGTCAAGAAAGGGCGTGGTCGTCCACGTAAAAACACGGTCGAAAACAAAGACGTTAATAATAAATCAACAACCGCGAAATCGCTTCCGGCCGAGGGTGAAAAACCGAAAAGCAAACGCGGTCGGCCCAAGAAACAGGTATCTCCAGAAGAGAGCGCGAAAGTAACAAAGCCAAAAGATCCTTCCGCGCCAACACAAGCACGAAGAGGCAGGCCGCCAAAGCGTAAAACACCCGATAACGTTCAATCTGACGCTTCTTGGGCACCGCAGGTTCCAGAGAAAGTTGACACGGTATCAGGTGAACGATCTGTAATCGGAGGAAGCACTGTTTCGGATAAACCGAACGTGAAAAAACCAAGGCTAGACGGTACTGGGTCAATTGAAGACATAATTGAATCGGTTAAATATGCGCCTCAGCCGGAGTCTTTGTTGCATGAGGAGCGTTTGAAAAAACTAGAGAACATGAGGAATCTTTTGGTAGTTTTGATAATCTTTTTTTCTTTTTCTTTCTTTCTTATTATTTGGTTTATCGTAGCGGAACTTTTGGGGAAGGGCGAATAAAAGTAGTAAGTGCGGTTATGCAATGCAAACATAGACTCGTGTAAATTTAAACCGATTTGAAAAAAAGTTATTCAATTTATTTAATTTGATTTAACTTTAAACTTTTTCTTCATGTCGAAATTTAAAAGAGACGTGGTGACATTGCAAGAGTTCCACAATGATAAATTTGTAATGAATCATACTAGACGTAATATTCATTTGTCTTGTTTTGATTTTATTAAGAGCTCTTCCTCGCAAGCGAACCGTGAGGAAGTTTTTGCTGAACATCAACGAAAGAAGATTAATCATAAGGAGGAGGTTCGACGAGAATATAAAAAGGCAGAAGCAGAGAAACTGCTTTCGCGGCAGGTAAGCCAAGGGGAAAGATTGAGAAGTGTTTGTGGGATTATCGAGTTGATATTGAATCTTTTCGCTTTTCTTTTTTTTTTTTTTAACTTAGGAAATTGAAAGAGCAGGTGGTGATTACGAGCGGTTGAGGTCATGGACATACTCGGCCGAGGAGGCTGAAAAATGGGAAAAGAGAGAAGAAAAAAAGGCTAAACGTAAAGAAATTGGATTTACTGGTACTGTATTAATTTAATTGTGACCATCTCTGTATTGCTTGACAAATTCATTCACACGCGGGCTGTTTTTTTCCCCTCTCAGATTACAATCAAGTAGCAGAGAAGAAATATCGCCGACAAATTCATGAACTTAAACCCGATCTCCATGCATATCAAGAGGCAAAAGCACAGGCTGGAGCTTCGTCCGTTGATGATACGAATTTCTATCGTGATGCCAATTCCTTGGCTTTTGCTGGAGTCGATAGTCAGCCCAGTCGACAGGCAGTTGAAAAGCTTGTTACTGATGTTAATAAACAGTACGTACAAGAGAGAATTTTTCGGGGGGGGGGGGGGGGGTTGGCTTGTTGAATGCGTAGCAAACGTAATCAAATATGTAAATTTTAGGGTCGAACAACGAGAAAAGTTTTCGCGGCACAAGCCTGTTAATGATGAAGAAGATATCACGTATATTAACGAACGTAACCGACATTTCAATGAAAAGATTGATCGATACTACGGAAAATACACTAAAGAGATCAGAGAAAACTTTGAGCGTGGCACTGCGTATGTTGACAAGCATTATCTGCTGTTTGGATTGTTGTTGTTGTCGTCGTTTGAGATCAGGTATTTATTTACTAACTTTTTTTTTATTCGATAATAGTTTGTAAATATATCAAATTCTTGGGATGATGTATTAAACTTCTATAGAAGTTTATTTTACCCAAAGATGATAGGATACATGTTTATCAATTTTTACGTAATCATATTCAATTAAACCCATGTCGGCTAATACGCAGGTTTACGACCTAGCTTGCGTTCTCAACAAGTCACTGCAATCGTTAATATGAATAAACTAAGATATTGTCGACAATTTTAATGATTATTTTTACAATCAGCGGTCACTTGAACGCAAAAAAAACCTCATTAATAAATGTGCTATAAAGAATTGCATCATAAAATCGTTTTTTGAACCGACCTGCGAATCTTTATTTTTTTCACCTGGTTTACAAGGCAATCAATGTAAATGGCAAAAAAACTTGACCAAATTAAGCTTTTGAACAATCCCTATTACTATGCCTTTATTGTTCTTCAATCCCTCTCCATTGTACGCATCTCTTCAAGTACCTAATTAATATTGTCTTGCTCTTGTTATTGTTGTTGTTGTTGTTGTTGTTGTTGTTGTTGTTGTTGTTGTTGTTGTTGTTGTTGTTGTTGTTGTTGTTAATTTAATTTAAATTTCAAATCATTTAATAATAAATATACAATAATAACAATAATACTAAATACAGATTCCATACTCGGATGGGTTTACTCGGGTTACTTGAATCACCGAGTACATCTCTTGTTAATTTTTGATTGGTACGGAATCGAAAACTTTATCATTTTAAGAGGAAAGGAAATGCATATTTAATAATCAACAATCAATGAGTAAATTCGAGAAATAACAGATGTGCATGTTTTGAGAAACACAAATTTGCATCTTGAATCTAGACCAACAAAGTGGATTTCTAAGAAAATGTTTAGGTAATTTGTACGCAAATCAGTGTGATATTTCAAGTCTATTAAGAGAAATAATGCAATGTCGAATAAATAAATATTTCTTGTTCTCATCATTCGCCATGTATGTTTAAAGAGGGTTGGACGAGTTTCTTGGGTTGGGGAGCAAAATATTTTGGTTATTAATTCCGTCCACATAAATATCAAATAATTGATTATTTATTTTTAGAATGACTCACATGTGTATTATCAAAGAGCGTTCATTACTTTGTATCACATTCAAAATTAGAGTTTAGACATCCGTGAAAGGGGTAAAAAAACATTTATGCAAGGAAATTTCATTTTGTATGGATTACAAATGCTTGTATTTTTCGAATTTTGATTCCAGCAAAAACCTCAACGCTTTAGCGGAGAACAGCCGAGTTTAAGGGGGCGGGAACAATTGTTTAGAAAAGCTCATAACTGAAAAAGATTTCAGGGGTTGAAAGTGTTGATTGTCACAGATTGTCTCACTGTCGTATTTGGCTAATGTTTACCATTTCTATATCAGATTGAACAAACAATATCAAATTAGTCAAATATCAGTGATGTGATTTGTCAAGACGAGTGGGGTTTGAACAAGAATAGATATCGATGGTTTTTTATTCCGATAAAGAAAGAAAAAAGTTTGATATATTTGTTATACCAAATGCCCTTGAAGCCAATAATGGGAAATGCTATACATTCGACAAATAATACAAAGTGATAATACGTTGTATCATGGTTTCTTAATACAAGTTTGAATGAAAAAAGCTGCTGGCTGACAATAGTTCAATTTCCATGGCTACAGTGTATGTCTAATAATAATAAGCAATCTATGACCCTGACTGAGATACAATTAATAATCGCGTTCTTTTAAAAGAAGCAAATTACGGCCATTCTATAATATTATTGATAAATAACTCGTTTTCAAAAACAATGACAAATGACAAACGCAATGAAAATGGTAATAAACGATACAATAGAAATCTATCAAATGCAGATTATTATCATAAGGGAACCGGATAAATAAATAAATAAATGATTGTCGATGGCTTTTGAGTTTCTATTACTATACAATTAGGTTCACCCCTTTTGATTAACCAAACATTGATTGTTGTTGCCGATAAATTACATGAATTGAAAGCTTTGTATTGTAACAGCTTACGTACGACTCGTTAGAAACACAATGTTTTTAAGTTTATTTTTCAGATTAAATCGAGACATGAATTAGAACTTTACAGTTCGTTAATGTATTTGTTTACACTCTGACGCCCATTAACGTATTGGTGGAACGTTTGTTGGATAAATTTAGATTGGAAATTTTGGTTTGACTTAAGAGTGTTAGATGATGTATGAGATAATTATAATCAAGTTATGGTTTACGTTGACATTAATGTCTAATTTTTGAAATAATAAAGTTTAGTTGACATTCAAAAATAACGTTTTATCAATTAGCTTTATTTTAACATTTAAAATTAACGTTAGGATAAACTACAGTTACCTGTATGCAAACATAGATAAACATTTACGTGTTGTTTGGTTCTGTTTTGCGGCTTAAGTAAACGAAAACGAACAGTAGGTTTAAGATTTGTTTCCCCAGCTGAAGAGAAGGGCTAGTCAGGTCATATACAACCACTAGAATGAAACCAAATTTGGTATTTTTTTAAGACTATAAAGTTTTATAATGGTGATACTTGTTTCCAAGCAAAACTAATGTGAGTAAAAAAACCATTAATTTATTGATAATTATATCTGCTTACGTTTCATTAGATAATACTTGTACAGTATTACCACAATATATTCACTTTTGCTGCATTATAATCTCCTTTTCAAATTAAACGCAATTTTTTGAATAATAATAATGACTCGGACACTTATTTTTAATAATATGGCCAAACTTACCAAAAAAACTGCGTTTATTGTACAATTTTTATATCCTAATCTGTTTTATTTTGTTTGTAAGGAGGATATGAATTTTTTGAAAAAACAAAAAAGCTGAGCCTCCACTAATGTCCATTCTTTTGCAGGCTACTTAGTAACGTTTCCATACTAAACATAGTTAGTATGACTAGATATTACCAGAGCCTCTACTAATTCAGTAACTTATCGGTGAAAGGTTGTTTTTTGTTAATAAAAGACTATTTGAGGGCATTCGTAAACTTTGATTTTGTATTTCGCTGCTTTGAAAATTTTAAGCACACTATTAATACTTTTTTTTTATAATGCTACAGTGGGTGACCAAAAGTCTCTGACCACCACTTAAAATTTTCGTTAATTTGCATAATTCCGTAACGAAACATCAGATTTTTATGAAACTTTAGTCGTAGTTTGCGCTTGTATTGAGCTACATTCCTGCAAAATTTTAACATAGATTAATATGTAAACTGTCAAGTTTGCTTATACTCGACTTTACTCAACTGAAAATAAATAAATTTAAAAATTAATAACTCCACAACTATTTACATTATTAACGAACTTTAAATGAGGTTTTGTATTTGTAGCACATGTCATATACTTTGAAAAAATGTAACTAATATGACAGTATAATATAAATAAATTTGTTATGGCATTCAAGTAACGGCATATTAATTTCACAGATAATTATCTGAAAATTGATCACATGCGTGCGCA